AGTAGTCTGAAACTTCAGAGAATTTTTTAAACTGCATGTAGCAATTGTCCAGAGTCAGCTGAGGAAACTCTTCCTGAGGCACCAGCTGTCCTGAATCTGAAGTTGCATCTTGTCTCAAGGTCTGAAGGTCCTCTGGATTCAAGCAAGATTTTGGGTTTACAGAAGTGTATGTGAGAGAGAGAGAGAAAAATGGAAGGCTATTTCTTCAGTGTCTCAGATACCACAAAATCCAGCACCGACATTCCTTTGGTGCATTTGCCACGCGCAGTTTGGCTCTCACTTTTCCCTGTGTGGGAAAGGTGTTCCCCGAAAAGTTGACAGTCTCTCTGCGGTGAGGTGCAGGATTGGAATGCAGCAGTGAACAGGAAGGAAGAGCTAGTATATTGTTCTGAAGAAGGGTCCAGACCTGAAACGTCAGCTTTCCTGCTCCTTTGATGCTGCCTGGCCTGCTGTGTTCCTCCAGCTCCACACCTTGTTATCTCAGACTCCAGCATCGGCAGTACCTACTATCCCTCGTATATTACAGTCAGTTTGCTGCGATGTTCAGTTTTTGATGTTTAGAATTCCTGGGACAGGGGTTTGCAATGAGTTTAAATGTCAGTAATCTTGATAGAACAGTTCTTTTGAAAAATCCTAAAAGGTTGGCAATAACATGATCATGTTTTAAAAGTATATGTGATAGGTATTAAGTTTCTGTTTTTAAATGTCTTTGGAATGAGCTACTGCCTAATGCACCAACCCAGTGATTTACCTTCCCTGCTCCCTGATTGCTGTCAGCTTTCACTGTGGGTTTTGAATGAAGGTTAGGATAACATTGGTGGGGTTGCTGTGGGACAGGGTGAAGGTCATTCCCAACCTGCTCATTGCTGAAGCCCTATAGTCAGTTCACAGGAGCATCCTGTACAGTTTGGAAGTGGAAAGGACAGATTTGCACGTATATAGCACCTTTCATAACCTCAGGACATTGTATAATTGCATCACAGCCAGTGAAGTACTTTTTGAAGTGTAGTCACTCGGGTGATACAGGAAACACAGCAGCCAATTATTCCATAGCAAGCTCCCACAAACAACATCTGTGTTTTATCAGTATTGATTGAGGTTTAAATATTGGCCAGGCCTGCAGGGAAAACGTTGCTGCTTTTCTTTGAAATAATGCACCTGAGAAGGCAATGGGATCTCAGGCTGAAGCCTCATACAAAAGAGGGCATCGTTGATACTGATATTGCAACACACCCTCAATGTTAAACTGGACTGTTAGCCTGGGTTTTGTAGGGTATCTCATCAAGGAACCATGTGTAGCCTAGTCCAGAAGGCAAATGAGTATATCAATGTGCACAACAAATGAAAGGGAATATTGAAATTTCTGAAATAATGTTTCCTGAATGTCTGGAGAGTGTGCTTTACAAGTATTTTGTTTCTTGCCTTCCTTAGATTGGCTGGTGGATAGACGGCATTGCAAGCTGAAATGGCAGAATGCGGTGTTGGTAATTCGGGAGAAAATAAACAATGCAATCCAGGATATGCCAGAGAATGAGGAGATCAAACAGCTCCTGTCAGGATCATGTCAGTGCCATTTCTGCCAAGTGTCATCCCGGTAGTCTGCGTGTATAAATAGAATTAATGGTTAACTTTGTAATAGTCCAGAGATAGTGCTCATTAATCCGCCCAGAAACAGGCCATACTTCCCCACGAGTCTGTGCCAGTGTTCTTGTACCATATGAATCTTCCCATTTGACTTTGTTTCATCCTGTCAGAGCATTTTTCTATTGCTTTCTTCCTCATGTGCATGTCTAATGTCCCCCTTAATTAGATCAATATCTTTGAGTTTAATTCTGTTCACCCACCACTCCCTAGCTCATAGGAACCTCCTACACTTTGATTTTAAAATTCTCAACCTCCCTTTCAGCTTGTTCTTTGATCTCACCAGTCCCTATTTCTATAACCTCCCCCTGCCCTACAATTCTGACATTTGTAAATTCAGTCTTTTGAACATCCCCAATTTAATCGCTTTACCATTTGGTGGTCATGCCTTCAGCTGCCTGAGCCCTAAGCTCTGGAATTCCTCCCTAAACCCCTCTGCTTTATTAGGTTGCTACCTAAAAGCCTGTTTTGGCTAATATTTTGTTCACCTGTCTGAATATCCCATTCTGTGTTTTGTTAAATTTTATGTTACAACACTCCTGTGAGGTATCTCATGTTACTACATAGAGGCACTATAGAAATGCAAGTTGTTGGAGTCTGCATGGTGCTGTAACAGGCTTCACAGCTATGCCCTGCGTCTTCTCTAAGATTGAGAGTATTCGGTGGACCCAGGAGCATCTGATAAAAATCAGGCAGTTTGACTTTGTGTTGGTGTGACATTCCTTTTCAGTGTAATGTTAAATTTTCCCTCTCCTGCAGATATCCATTATTTCCATTGCTTGAGAATTATAGAGATTCTCAGAGGGACAGAAGCTTCTACAAAGAATATTTTTGGTGGTTACTCCTCTCAGCGAATGAAGGTAAAATTATTTGAAATTTCATGGGCAGTTTCTTCAGGTTTGCTCGATTTGAAAAAGTCAAAATTAGCTGTTTTCTGTGTCTTTTTGTTGCTACAGGACTGGCAGGAGATAGTGTGTTTGTATGAAAAAGACAACGTCTATCTCGGTAAGGAAGCTGGTTTGCGGATATTTTACATTCTACACATTTAAAGCCGGGCACTCCTGAAGCTTAGATGTCTGCTTGGGGCTCAGTGGGTAACATGATGATCTCGGAGTCAGAAGCCCTTGGCTCATGCCCCATTCCAGAGACTTAGACCATAAGACATAGGAGCAGAAATTAGACCATTTGGCCCATCTGCTCCTCCATTCAATCATGGCTGATAAGTTTTTCAACGTCATTCTCCCGCTTCCTCCCAGTAACCTTTGATCCTCTTGACAATTAAGATCCTATCTATCTCTGTCTTAAATATACTCAGTGACCTGGCCTCCGCAGCCTTCTGAGGCAGTGATTCCATAGATTCACCACTCTCTGGCTGAAGAAATTAAAACTGTAACTTCAATCCATAAATTCAGTCATCACTCCAGTGCAGTGCTGAGGGTGTGCTGCGTCTGAGGTACTGTTTTTGAGATGAGACCTTAAACTGGGGATGTTAAGATTTCCACAGCACTATCAAAGGAAGAAGGAATAGTAGCACATTCAATTATACCCTCAACCAAGACACACATCAGATAATCTGAAACATATTGCAGTACACATAAAAAGTTAAAAATATTTCATCCAGTATAACTCCCTTTGTTCCAGTTTGTAATGAAAGTTTCTATGTAACTGTAGCACCTACACTGCTAGGCGATTGTGATTAATCTGTGACCAGTTTGCCTGAGAAGTTTTTGTTATAAATGTGGACAATTGGCCCCCTCTAATATGGAAATCTGGGATGGGTCTAATCTGAGATATAAATTGGACTGTTTTGGTCAGGACCAGTTGGTATCTGACCATCTCCATAAATTGGAGAAAGTTGGCCAAGCGTCACATTATTTCTGTGGCTCCAAAGGAGCAGGTTACGTCTTGGAAATAATCTGAGGCACTTGTGCCCCGGCAGCTCTGCTATTGCAAACTCTCCCATGCATGCTCAACTCGAGGGAGATAGTGCAGTAGTGGTAATGTAGCGGGACTAGTTATCCAGACCCTCAGGCTAATGACCTGGGACATGAGTTTGAATCCCACCATGGCAGATGATGAAATTTAAATTCAGTAAAAATCTGGAATAAAATAAAGATACGAATTCTGACTGAATAACAGTTGTCGAATGTCATAGACACCCATCTGATGTTCACTGATGTCCTTTAGGGAAGGAAATCTGCCCTCCTGACCTGGTCTGGCCTGTATGTGACTCTAGTTTCACAGCAATGTGATTGACTCTTAATTGCCCCCTAGGTAGTTAAGGATGGACAATAAATGCTGTCCTAGTCAGGGAAGCTCACATCCTGTGAACAAATGTAAAAAAAAAACCTGCTATTGCTAGCAGCTGCCACCACCCCAATCTATCTGTTTTGGTCTCGGCAGTTTGCTTTGCCAAATGGGAAATGGGTTTGGAGTCTTGAAATGATGGGAGATGCAAAGTGGGGCTTCTTCACCACAGGAACAGAGGCCTTGGGCATGCCAGTGAGATCCCCAGTTGTTTTGTTATTTTGCTTTGTACACAGTACATTTAAGATTGCTGTTCACATGCATAGCTTAAAGCACACTTTACCCAAAACTCCAATCAACTCCACTGTTTTGAGAAGTGTGTTTTGGGACAATGAGTATTTTTAATGAAGATCTGCCTCAAACCACAGTGAAGCATTTGATCAGTGCCCTCGTGCAGTAAAATTCCTACCGTGCAGCGCATACAGCAACAAAACAGATCATCCAGCCACTGTTTATGCTGCATGTGAGCTTCTGTTTCATCATATTCCCTCAAAGCCTGCCCACCATCTACAAGGCACAGTCAGGAGTGTGATGGAATACTCCCCACTTGCCTGGATGAGTACAGCCCAATAGCACTGAAGAAGCTTGACATCATCCAGGACAAAGCAGCCCGCTTGATTGGCACCACATCCACAAACATCCACTCCCTCCACCACCGACACTCAGTAGCAGCAGTGTGTACCATCTACAAGATGTGCTGCAGAAATCACCAAAGGACCTCAGACAGCACCTTCCACACCCACGACCACTTCCATCTAGAAGGACAAGGGCAGCAGATATATGGGAACACCACCACCTCCAAGTTCCTTTCCAAGTCACTCACCATCCTGACTTGGAAATATATCCCCGTTCCTTCACTGTCGCTGGGTCAAAATCCTGGAATTCCCTCTCTAATAGCATTGTGGGTCAACCCACAGCAGGAGTAATGCAGCAGTTCAAGAAGGCAGCTCACCACCACCTTCTCAAGGGCAACTAGGGATGGGCAATAAATGCTAGCCAGCCAGCGACACCCACATCCCATGAAATGAATAGAACACTTCTTCCTGAAGTGTTTATCAAGCAGCCCCTTAAATGTATCTTTACTATTCATCTCAGCAGCTTATTGTCATAACAGGTTCCACACTCTCACTAGCCCACAAAATGTTTGGCAACTTGTTGCTGGCTGTATCTCCGTTTTTACACACTGTTGGCTGCAGCTCACCCGCACCTTCTGTGTATTACTTGAACCAGCAGCTGTGTAAACAGTGCTTACAATGAGTGTGTGGTCCCTGCTTTCAGAAAAATCTTCCAATCCTTGGTTTTAAAACAATGAATTTTTCATTCCATTCCAAAATCAAAAATACAGAAAAGTAAAAAGAGACAGTATTTACACCTTATAATTATGCCCTTGAGTATTGGGTTTCTCCACAAGTGGAAATATCTCTATGTCGACCTGATCAATCATCTGAAGTGTAAAATTTTAAAGACTTCTCAGGTCACCCATTTGTCTTATTATTTTTTGGGTCAGTCTTTCCTCACAATTATATATCTTTTTTCCCATTGTGTGTTTATAAAGTTTCCCCTTACATACAATAAGCATTCTCAAAGGTGTGCTTTCTGTATTTTTTTAAATAACAGCTGAACTTTCCAGTTTACTCGTGCGAAATGTAAATTATGAAATTCCATCTTTGAAGAAGCAGATTAGTAAGTGCCAACAGCTGCAGCAGGAGTACAGCCGCAAGGAACTGGACTATATCAACAACGCAGCCACTTTACGGGAGAAGTTCTTCATTTCCTGCAAGCAGTTTGGGATAACGGTGTGTCAGCCTGTATCTGTTCTCTTGACACGTTGTATAATTCCAGCAAAACAATTAACCAGATTTTAGGAGAAGAGAATGTGTAGGTGTAAGTACAGAGAATGCTGGAGAAACTCAGCAAATCAGGCGGCATCTGTGGAGAGAGAAACAAAAATTAACATTTAAATTCCATTATGACTGTTATTTAGAACTGGGTCTGTGTTCCTTTATGAAGGAAGATGTAGATGCTCAGCCATTTTGAAGTGTGTTATAGTGCATTCACTTTGAGCCTGGGTTGTGGCATAGATTTCTGGCTTTGCTTAACCTACTGTTAATTTAGAAGAACGAAACTCTCTCACACATGCTCTCCAAAGAAGCACTTTGAAAAGTCCTGACATCAGGCAAAGCGTGGGAGATATGTCAGTCCTGCCTTTCTCTTCCCCATAAGGTCTGCAGACCATATATTGCTGCAGGCAAAGTGAGGAGTGGGTATAGGACTTCCTGTCATTGCTAAGCAAGCTTACAGATGGCTGCAATTGAGGAACTCCATGAGCTTTCCACAAAAAAATACTATTTCTCCCCAGCCAGGGACTAGGAGTCACAGCCATGGGAGAAGATATCAGCCATTTACAAACAATCATCTGGGATGCAATAAAACTGAGCTGAGGAGAAAGACCATCACTCAGGGGTTGCTAATCTCCGGAATTCCCTACCCCAGAGGCTGTGGATACTTTTTCGTTAAATGTAATCAAGACTAAGACTGGATACGAAGTGAATTGAAGAATCTGGAGATAGTGAAGGTGGTAGATGATCCATTATTTAATTGAACATAGCAATAGGCTCAGGGCACCACGTGGCCAACTGCTCCTATTTTTTACATTCTCTGGTTGTGATTGTGAACCTTTTCATTAAGTAATCTCTGTCAGCCTGTGCAGTACCTGCTGTTCCTCTGGAGAGAGGTCCTGTTGGGTGGAATATGGAATGTTTTGGCTTGATGAACTTTCAGTTCGGTTTTGTGGAGCTCTGCGATCCACACAGGGCTACGTAGCATTCATGAAACCAACCAAGGGACACTTGTTGCTCACCCAAGCTAAATCAATTCAGTTTTCTGTGTGATTTCAATCACAGGCTGAAAGTCAGTGTTGTCTTGGTACAAGGTAGCCACATGTTTGGATCTTTGATTCTCATTCTGGGCCATATTTTGAGAGTTGTGCTCTGGCCCAGCGCTGGCAAAAGGAGCACATCAAAAAAAATCAAAGAACAAAATTGTTCATTCAGTGCAAACTGTCCAAAAGGTTTATTTATATCATCAAACTCCCTGGCTCTATCTCCAGTCCCCAAGCCCCACATCCCCCCTACCACTCCATCTTTGCAGCAGCAGCAGTGGGAGCAGTGAGAGCGAGGACCAGGGGGCTGCCGGGAGGG